GTTTGGGTGCTGATCCAACAGGGTTGCCAAAGATCCATGGATTGCCAACATCATCAATGTATAATACAAGTAGTTCACATGATTCCTACTCAGCATCACCTAAGAATACGAAGTCTAGAAAGTCGTCTCACTCGGGGGAGCTTCACTCGCCATTTTATTCTAATGCGGATTCAAACGGAAGTGGACGCACGTACATGCCTGGTCAATATCCAACTGTTGATCAATAAGCGGTTCGAGTAGCACTGCAAGTCTTTCAAAACAGTGTCAAAAGTATTTATTCATTTGATTGCTCTATCCGATTGGAGGTGATTGGAAGTACACCTTCAGTAGGCAGATTGCTGGGGAGTTAGTATCCGGCATTGCCTTTACGTCTGCGTATTTCTCGACCCGTTTATTTTACATAATCGTATAGGAAGCTGATGATTGTATTGTTTTATTGTTCTTAACTAGGCCCCAAGAATAACAGGGACTCACTCTTACCTATTTTTGACAGAGTCAGATGGTTCTCTCAAGTCCGCACTCTCAGATATGCATATTATGTTACCTATATTTTTCGTTTTTGTTTTTTTCATTTGATATCTGTTTCGAAATTATGCGTACCGCAACAACCATTTGTCAATTATCCAAGTGCGGGGAAATTTCTTTTAATTTTCTTATGTGTTTTTATTTTATTTTTTCGGTAAGGAATTTTCATATGTTTCATTTCTTTATTGCAAGACTGGATTTCTTATGTTTTATTTGCCATGGATCCTAAGATCTATGGGAATGTTATCACAGCCGTCCTGTTATGACTCATTCTCGTCATCTTTAGTTGTGTGTGTGTGTTTTTTTTTTGTTTAGGTGCAAGTCAGTGATATTGGATGCTAATTTGTTTCGTAGTTGTATATTCAGTTAACTCGTTTCACGAGATGGGGTGGGCAAACGGGTCTAGCATCTGTAAGTTGGGGCGTGTCCAGATATTCTAAATACAAAATGGCCGTGCCATGGTGGGTTCAACTAATTGGCAGCGCAGGGCGGGGCAAGTCCAATTGTCTTTAATTAGAATTTGTCAAAAAAGGAATTGAGTTGGTTTAATGTGTAGGTAAGAAATAAACAGATAAAGATAATTTGTCAAAAATACTTTTGAATTTAACAGTTGTTTAACGGAATGGAGTGAAGTGAGTCCAAAACAGTTGAAAATGTTAGAGAACAAAGTGATACAAAATCAATTTTAGGAATAAATTGAGACTAAATGACAGTTATAATAAACATTTCAATTGGTAGGCCTTATTAATAATTAACAATTGAATATAAAAGAGAAATAAGTGTGTCCTTTGTTAAATAATAGATTCCCACTGTGACAGATGAGAGAGTAGAAATTCAAAAAAAGAGAGAAAAAAAATTGTGAGTGGATAGATCGGAATATAAAATAGGACAGCTTTCAAATATAATTCCACCTGTATAGACAGATAGCTGTCAAACATATGATCGACGACTCAGGAGTAGAATTCTCTCTCCTCTTATCTCTATCTCATTCCCTCCTCTCTCTCATACTTTGTTTTTTATCTTATTATCTTTATAAAAAATCAATATAAAATATTGACGTGACTTTATTGTAGCTATTTAAATAGAAAAGAAGCAAAAGAAAAAGAGATTAGGAGATGAAATAATCATTCCATGGCTCGAGGGTCTGTGCCGAATCCTCGTATGCCTGCCTATTTGGGAAACCTTACTACTTTATTTCCTAGGATTCTTTTTCACGCACTCCACATCAACTAATGGAACATAGTCGTTAATTAACAATTTAATATAAAACAGAAACAAGTGTGTCCTTTGTTAAATAATAGATTCCCACTGTGACAGTAATGCTCAAATCTCAGACAAGAGAGCAGAAATTCAAAAAAAGAATGAAAAAATTTGTAAGAGGATAGATTGGAATATAAAATAGGACAGCTATTAAATATAATTTCACCTGTAAAGACAGACAGCTGTCAAACTTATGATTGACGACTCATGAGTAGAATTCTCTCTCCTATTCTCATCTCTTTCTCTTTTTCCTCTCACACTTTGGTTTTTTATCTTATTATCTCTATAAAAAATTAGTATAAAATATTGACGTAGTTTAACTGAACCATTCGTATAGGAAGTAAGCAAATGAAAGAGATATTAGGAGGTAAGATAATCATTCCATGGCTCGAGGGTCTGTGGGCCGAATCCTCGTATGCCTGCCTATTTGGGAAACCTTACTACTTTATTTCCTAGGATTCTTTTTCATGCACTCCTCCACATCAACTAATTGGAACTTGGTCGTTACAAAGCATAATAATATAATAATATAGCCACATGGTCACCCATTTCAAACCCTCATCGTTCAGCTAGTAGCTACAACTGATCCCTATCCAACTTGGTCGGCGACCTCCCACAGAATTGAACCTCAATCCTGGGTTTGTGATTTGAGTAATATTTTATTTCTCATCACTTATCATTAAGAGTTTTTATGTTCAATTTTCGTCAAGCAAATTCGAACTAAATTGTTATCGTTAACTCACTGTAAGATTGTGCACAAAAATTTCTATTTAGATAATAAACATCGTACTTCATTTTAAATACATGTATTATAATTTGGTTAAAGTGGTTTCGTGGTAATCATTATATATCTAGACAATCAACCTGTCACACAATATCTAACTGTCACGCACAATAATTTATTTTTATTAAGAAGCACTGGAATAAATTCGATTCCCGCTTCATTTACTTTATGCAAATTTCTTTCAGACTCTCATCTCTACACACATTTCCCACTGTCAATATGGTTGCCTATGGTCTAGCGAAGCTTCCTTTAGTTTTTTAGTATGATGATACTTTAAATGTTTGAAGAACCTCCAAACATCATTCTGGGTATTTTATTTCGATACTGTAATATATTCTTATTAATTACAATCGAATCTCTATATCACGCTTTTCCTCATATAACTCCACAAGTTTAGAAGGTAAGCGTTGAACTATTATTCGCCAACCCTTTCAAAATTTTAACAATTATGTCTATAACATTACCACATTGCATTATATATATATATAATTGATTTTTATAACTTTGTTTACGGTCGAGCTGCATTTCTTTATTTTTGTATCCTTTTTTTTACTGAAAGTATCTCCATGGAATTTGACAAATTGTACGGAATCACATGCAAATCCTGGCATTACAAGTTGCCAAAGCAAGTGTGCGGTCCTCCTTCTGTCGATCCTTGGTAATCGGATTCGAGCTCAAGTGCTATAGAAAATTAAGACGGAGTAAGAGGACAAAATACAAACAAACAAACAAACAAACGAAACCATATTTTAACTTGGCCATATTTCAGAGTTGTATATGATTGGTGAAAAGGTCTGCTATCAATTCAATTCAAGAGGGTTTTTTTTTTTTTTCACAGAGAGAGAGAGAGAGAGAGATATATATATATATATATATATTTTTTTTTTCTGTAAGAGGAATACAAATAATCTAGAAAATGATGTTAAGAAATAATAAATAAAAAATCCTAAGACTGTAACAATACATTAGAATATGGGTCGCATGCATGATTTGTAGAAGTCAAATCCTAGGTTTGTAAAACGAATCATTCTTCAAACGTACTTAAACAAAAGGTTGTGTGAACGGAAAAGTAGTTATGAAATGTCTTCACTGCACATATATCAATTTCACATGCATGGAACAAATAGTTTTATCAATGTATTTGAACAGTACAGACAAAGTGTGAACACTGAGGGTACGATTCTTAATTAGGTTTTATCTTCCCCCTCCTATCATTCTTGTATTATAAATTAACTAGCTTATGTAAACATTTATGTTCAAATTTATTAGTGAGTATTTCATTAAATAAATCAAATCAAAGCATGCTCAAGTTTGGATCGTACACAAGTTAGTGGTATCCATGTTCTAATATGTGGTAGCTGTCAGCAGTAAATGTTTGTAATATATATGAATTAAAGAGAAACAAACTAATCAACAGTGACAAACATTCAAACTCATACATGCTCGTATACGTATAGTGTTATTATATTTTAAACTTATCTCTTAAGATCCCAACTTTATATTCTTTTCTTTAATAATAATTAGATTAATTTACAGACAGCCTGTGTCTTCATATTCATGAGAATCTAAATAAGTAAAATAATAGACTCGATTAAAACCATCATTCAATTTGAATCGATGATAAGCTAGACAAATCAAACTCTATCATATATATAATCTAAAATATCAACGTCAGCAACAATAAGCACTTAGTTAAAATCAAATAACAAAACTTACTTATATATGCATCATTTATTAAGAATAGTTAGAAAGTATTTCACGTTTAAAATTAGTTGATTACCAACGCTAGCCTTTGCTTGAACTATTATTCAATTCAAAAGAAGGAAGAAAAAAGGTTAAACATAAGAAACTCAAACATATACATATATAACCTAAGTACTCTGCAAACTTTCTTTAAGTTGGTACATATATAATAAACATAGAGAACAAAATAAACTTGTGTTTGCATCTCTATTTCAAACCTGCTTTCTTCACACGCTAAATGATTGTCAATCGTTCACCTACATAAAATCCTCATACATAACTAACAGACACACTGGACAATCTAAGCATACTTATCATTACCAATGAAAATATAAGAAAAATACTAATTTTCTTTGAGTCTCTTAACTCTCTTTTAATTTACACAATTCAAATAAAAAAATAAACATAAGTGCCTTAATTTTATAAGAGAAGAACAGCTGGGCATATACTATAGCTAATCGCTAGTAGGCAGACTAATGAGAATTGACTGAGAAAGCCAAAACCCCCCAGTCCCAAAAAGCATGAGAGCGCCCTTGGTTTCCAAACACAACGTGTCAATCATCTATACGTCACCCTCACCCATCATTTGTGCACTCTGCACTCATACAAACAACGAATGCCGGGCCTCTCTGAGAGTCCGAGGTTTCCCAATTCCCCACGCTTCTCATTTACACTCGCCAACACTCGCTCTCTTCCTCTTACGCGTGCCCATTCTGATCTGCCTTTTGTAACGTGAGCACCTCCTCCGATTACCTCCCGCTGGTCAACAGGCCTCTGTAACTTTATTTGATTCACCTGGCAAAATATGGCCCCAGAAAGCGAGTAGAATTGTCCTTCTCTACTCTAGTGAGTGGGGGATGCGGTCCAGACCATTACCACTAAGCGGTTTCCCTCCAGAACACTCCATACCGCGTTTCCTCAAATAAACAGGGTTTCTACTTTGTGGCTTTGCGTAGAAAGCATTTATAGGTAGGTATATCTGAGGAAATTAAGGAAAGAAGGAGGCTGCTACTGTTTTTTTATCAGAGCTTGTTTCTTCCAAGTAAGAAACTACTACATTATTTTTTGAGGAAAAAATCAAAAAGGAAAAACGACTATTTCTTTTTTTAGATAAATATGATGATTTTTGTTCTTTGGGTTTTCTTGGTTCTTGTTGGTAATCTCGTTTTGCTTCGTATTACTGTCATCTCTAGCATGCTTTTGATCTTGTTTGCTTCAGGTTTTGATAACCAACTCAGGAAAATAGGAAAATTTTCTTGAATATGAATAACTAATTAATTTCTCTATGTATATATCTACCGATCTGATATAGAAGAAGGTATGGGGAGAGGAAAGATTGTGATTCGAAGAATTGACAATTTAACGAGCAGGCAAGTGACCTTTTCCAAGAGAAGAAATGGGTTGATTAAGAAGGCTAAGGAGCTATCAATCCTTTGTGATGCTGAGGTTGGATTGATTATCTTCTCTAGCACCGGCAAGCTTTACGATTATGCTAGCACTAGGTTAGATATCTCTCTCTCTCTCTCTCTCTCTCTCTCTCTCTCTCTCTCTCTCTATATATATATATATATATATATATTGCCAGTGAACCTTTTTGTTGGATTGAGTTTGCACTGGAACTAGAGCTACTTGTTCTTTATATATGTCTTTAATGGTCTATCGAATTTTAATTTTCCTAGCTGACTTAGGAGAATTTATGTATCCATGTTGATAATATGCTGTATGTTCTAGCATAGGATTTGAGGTGGACTTGTTATTGGACTAGTTCAGACGACATATATCAGCCGTAGCGTCCTTTTTTTATGAATCTATATATATATATTGCATGTCGAATTACTTACCCGAAGATGTTATTTGGCTATGTTGCTTCCTGTCTTAGGTCATGGATTGTGTAGATCGAGCTTTCCCTTGTCTATTTTGCATAGGAATTCAGAAAGCTATATTATCTCTGATAAGAAACTGCTTTTAAAAACTTCCAACGAAAAAAAGGTTACAGATATAAGTATTTACATATGAATGCTTCTCACAGTGTGCTATATGTAGGATTCAATTATAATATATATGCAAGAGCTGACTATTTACATATAATGATAAATAAAGACACGATGGAGTTAATGGATGATATAAAATTACATTAAATCTAGTTATTTAGTAATGTTCAACGAAGAGGGGTTTCTGAGGTGTATGTGTGTGCGTGCATGCACGCATGTGTCCCTCTCAGTTATTAGACCGTTTTCTCTTTAGCAGTTTTGGTTGGGGAGGGGGAGAGAGAGAGAGAGAGAGAGAGAGAGAGAGAGAGTTTATGATACTTCAAAGGTCTAAAGCATGCACGAGGAGAACTTCTACAGAAGTACTATTCAGGCAACCCCTCCATACTTTGACGTCCTTAAGAATGTGTTGCATGAGATGTGTTGTCTTAAAGGAGAAGTTTGTAGGTAGTTTGTCAATTCTCGCGAAAAACAAGGATTATGAGGTGTACAGATTCAAGTATATACATGTTAGCAACTGTAATATCATCTAAGAATATCACATTTCTTTAGGGACTAAATTGAGGAATAGTGTAGGTCGCAATTCATCGGTGTCATTTCTTGGTACAAAGGAGGATGATGGGAAAGGCAGTGTTTTCTGAAAAGACTTCTCTACCACTGAAGTTACAATTTCCCACTCATGTGCACCAATATATATCAAGTTAAAAATTAGGGAATTATTATTAGGACTCCAAAAATTTTATTTACACTCATCACAAGTGTTTTTTTCTTTTTAATTATGAAAAGTTTAGAGTGCCAAATGAGATTTGGAGTGCTAATAACAATTTCCTAAAAATTAATGAATTTTAATTATCGTTTTTAGTATTCAAGAGAAAAAAAAAAAAACATAAGAGATAAAGTTTGATAGGGATGACAATGGTTCAATGGAGCACAGTTAATCAGTGCTATTAAATCGTAACTACATATATATATATATATATGTAGTTGACAAATACACTGTAATAGCATACCACACACTTACTTTATAAGTGACCTCATCATTCACAGACTCTTTGTGACATTTTGACAACTTGATCAACAGCAATGATGTGGGGAGATTTACTGATATATACCTCTACTCTCCATGTTAAAAAACCGATTTCTCTTCTGATCTCCCTCCATGATGATTTCATAATGTTCAGCAACACTTGGTTGTTGTAGCATTTTGAATGCTCACTTGTGAAGAGAACCTTTAGCAATTTGATGTGAATGATTTGTTCACGATTGTTTTATCTTCGTTCAAGGTCTCAGTCAAGTGAAGGAAGAGTCTTTATACTTATCAGAACAAATATGTTTTTGAAACATGATATTATAGTTATATTGGGTTATACTTTACTTTTAAGTTTTATCTATATCAAATCGTGCAATTTTATAAGCATGAAAAAAAATCGAGAGTTGCCCAATTGGCTACATCAATAATGCTTAGAGAATCTCCAACACTGGTAGCTACAAATTTGTTAGTTAGCATGAAAATGATTCAAAATCTATTATAGCTAGTCAGTTTATTATGAGCACCTCCTACATTACTAGCTAAATAATTCATTTGCAAGAGCTAGTTGTTTTTGTAAAAAATGTTGATTCATTTAAGATGGACAAAGCCTCATGAAATATTGCAAGCCTTAAAACCATTTAAATCATTTTTCATCTCAAGTGGTTAAAGGATCAACAAATGAAATGAATAGTACAGAAACTATACGTCCTCAATCACAACCCAGCTCCCTTCCTTTGCCTTGGATACTCACCTAATAAGTGCTTGAAATATCCAGCCATGGTCAAAGCCAAATAAGCCAGACACCAAATCAATGTGCAAAGTGAAACTCGTCATTCATCAGTCAAAACTTCTTGAAATGATGATTTGAGGGTGCAATAAAGCGGTATATTTTGGTTAATTTTCTAGCTAGTAGAGCCTCAATTGAGACAGAAAAAAATAATAATGTTGAAACTCAATATTTTTCTTTCTTAATTGTAAATTTTGTCTACAAATTTAGTTTCCCTAGTATTACTCTTTCATTTTTGTTTTCTTTCATCGGTTGGCATTTGTCACATTATTTGGTATTGATATTGGAATTTGCATTGGCATTGGTAACAACATCAACATCAACATCAAAACTAGCTGTTTTCTCAGTAAACTCATGATCTAGTGTACCTTCATGAGTTTGATGTGAGGTCTTGGAAAAGTTTTGCAATTTGGTTTCTTTATGCTAGGCTATTTTTAGTATTTTATGTCTTAGGATTTCCTACCTTATGTTAAAATATACAAGGACTATGATGCATACGTGGGTGTAGCCACATTTGCAAAAAGGGATCATGCATGTGAGTCCAAATCTCCCTCCCTATAGTTTTATGTTTGTTTACTTTTTATCTACTAGGATAAGTATAGTTCTTTGCTAACTGGGAAAATTAATTCTTGAAATGTAACCATTTTGTTCCCTAGTCCCCTTGGCAAATAAAGCCAAAATGTAACTCTTTATACTTGTTTGCTTCAGTTACATATGAAATAGGCGTATTACACCCCAAATTTGTTGTTGCAGTTGCATTGGTTGTTAGACCAAAAGGGTATCAGCTTAAGAGAGTATTGGCTCTTCGACGGCCGGTCACCAATGTTCTTGATATCTATGGCCACCAACACTTTCTTGTAGGTAAAAGTCTATTTGAATGGAGTTAGACGGAGCCATTATTGAGGAGGGTTTGAGTACGCTTGCAATGGTTACTAAAGTTTTCAGAAGATCTCTCCGCATAGATGTTTCCAAACATTTGACATATATGCCCAACGTCAGGTTAGGGTTAGGGTTAGTGTTTTAAGACTCCAAAGAGCTACCATAGGTGATGGTTGAGTAGAAATGAGTGTGGGAGATTTCTTGGTAAGGCTAGGGTTAGGGTTTTAAGGGTACAAAATAAGAGGAGAAATGAGTCTCGGTAACTAAGGTAGGATTTCAATCAACTTTTTTTAAGCCTACAAACTAAGGAACCGGATTCTCACTTCAGCAGTACGCTAGCAAGCAGCTAGATCAGTGACCTAGTTACCGGATTTGGCTATCAACTTAGATTTGATATAGGATGGCTTCTTTTTCATTTTAATCATGTGTGGCTTCTTTTATTGTTGGGAAGAAAAATATCACTCAACAGTGGCTATGCATAATGCGAATCATGGCCAACAAATATCATCATTTAAGCAATTGAAATGACCAAATGACCAAAATATGTAACAGCATGAAAAAGTATTGCTAGATTCCTTAGTACTCAAAGGGACTCTAGCTTAAGTTGCCAATGGCATTTGGCCCTCCCGCAGTTTGTCTGCATACAAAAAACCGGGTTACAGATTTCCACAAATCCATTTAAAACAAATGTTAACAAATATTACTAGTATTTCCCCTATATGCTTCATAAGATTGTTTAAACAATAGTTAAAAAAGATTGTAGGGATTTTTGCTTTAGTTTAGTCACTTGAATAAAGTAGTGGAAGCAATTCAACTTACGTACCATACATATACATAGATATTATTCATAACATAAACAGTATTAACACTATATAGCAATCACATTGGTCGAGAAACATACGAAGTGTATATATCCATTGAAAAAGGAAAGGACAGAAAATATCTCATTACAATCAAAACCTAAATAATATTTACAAGGTACATGATTGTTGCATCTAACGACCATAACGCTTTGACTTTCTTATCAGCATGAAATCAGTTATCGATCGTTTCAACAAACTGAAAGGGGAGCATCAACTGCTGAATCCTGTTTCGGAAGTCAAGGTAACCACTCAACAAAAAAAGCTCCAATTTTCTTTGTGCTGAATACCTGCAATTATACTGAATAGAGGTATTATATCTATCTGACACTGTCACTAAGCTTCGTCGACAACGAGTACATACTAGCCAGAGTTGCTTTCATATAATTTTTTATGCTATACTTAATGTCTACGCATGCATACCACTTCTTTAATTACGTAGCTCTATGGTTTTGCCTATGTATAATAACAAACATTAGCAAACATATATAATCCCTTATGAACAATGTTGGATTATATCCTTTCGGAGAGATTATAGACAAGCAAACATAGAAATAGCGAGAGCTAGCTATCCAAGCGCCAGTGGTCTTTCTTAGTCACAAATTTAACTGTATGGGAAAGTACATGATGGGATTAGTCTAGATAGTCTGAAATAGCATTATGAAAGAACATGTATGCCTTGAAAGTTCTGAGACAATCATAGAGCTCTATCCTCTTCAACGCATTCTTGGCACTTGACTCATGAAGAGGTGTATAAAGGATTATAGGGAAGAGAAGCTCAATACATTAACAAACCGTCAAACAATTGCACCATTTTCCAAAGGTCTAAAATGCATAAGATTGAAAGCCTGATAGGACATTCAGGAAAGACAGATACATGCTCTTGCGACACTGACAATAGTAACTATGAAGTCCAAATTGGAAAAGAAACATGGAAGAGAAGAGATTTATATTATTGACAAAATACTTGTTACTACAATGCGACGAGGGAAAGGGAGATGAGTTTCACTAATGATGCTCTGGGACAGCTTCTTTCTCATCTAGCTGACATAACTTAAGTTCAAACAACTTGTTAAAGTCTAAATGAAGTTCTAGCAAATAGAAACACAAAGTTTACAAGTTGATATTATAATTCGAATTTTTGTCAGAAGCAAAATCTGGTAGTAGTAATAATTCAAGGAGTTCTCGTCAAGGGGTTTTCTTCTATATATCTGGACAAAAGCCCAGCGTTACTTAGGGAAGGGTAGCACTTTCCTTTTAGGGATGCTATTGCTACTTCAGAATATACATGAGACCTAGATTATAATTTTTCTTTTATGAGGAGAGAACTAACCATATCTCAACCACTCTTCAAAAGAATGTAGCAATCTAAAATAGCCATGGTACTCAAAGGAACCATTTAACATCCTTGCAACACCCCACTAGCCAGAAATTGTTGTGGAATGAATACAATACATGAACATGCGGAGTTGACAATGAAGCCAGTCTTTGATGGATTGTAGAAAAAAAAGGAAAATTAAGACGCAAGGCAAGGCAACGCCGTGAGCTAATGCATATTTGTTTGCGAGAAATGTCTAGGGAAGTATGGTTGCTTGAGCCCAAAGTTAAAATAAGCTTCAAAAAGTCTGGAAGAGTGTTGAAGTCCATGTTCCTGCGTGCCCCGTGAAGCTTTAGGTTGATGGCCCCACTGAGAAATTCAACTTGCCCCATGTAACGAAAAACTTCAGCCTAGGATTGCAGTACGGTGGAAGGGATAATTTTCATTTCCATAGTTATTGGTAACATATAGTTTCTTGAAATGTAAATCAATGTTGAATTATAAGCTATGAGCTGATTAACACTAGTGAATAAGCTATGTGTTTAATTGTGTATCACTTATGGTTAAGATTGCCAAGTGTAAGGCTCAAATATGTAAGGTCAAAAGTGCCATGTGTAATGATCCTAGTTGTTTAGCTAGATGAATAGCTGAGATCATCTTCTAGAGAGAGAGTGATCGAGCTAAGAGTCTCTAATTGTTTTATTCTCTTTTGCACGACTTGTGTGAGAGTAAGAGAAGCAATTAATGTGAAGAATTATTTTTGTGATTTGTAGAGAGAAAAAGAAACAACTATTCCTTCTCTTTGTGTGCCTGCATCTTCCCTTCGGTTCTCTTCTTCCAAAATTATCAATTTACTAAGCTATTTTTCAACTTACTCTAACATGGCCTTAGAGCCAGGTTCGATCATTTGTAGCTGGATGTAAACTATGAGATTGGGACGTCGCCGAAACTGGAAAAATCAAGTTTCAACTGAGCTCATCTTAGTCTGGTGAAGTTCACCGGAGTTCCTTGTGTGATCTAAAACCACGCGTTTTCGATACATCGGAGCTCACGATGGCTTGATCCGGAAGTTCAGAAGTAAGAACTTCGATCTTCTTCGGTGAGAACTACGAGTTCTGGAAGATCAAAACGACAACGATTTTCAAGTTTCATGGACCGTGGAAATGGGTAGAGAAAAGGATTGCACTCCTTGAAGACTCGAAGAAGAAAAAGAAGGGTTGATGAAGCTGAAGCAATGGATGATGATGATGAACAAACTATTGCAATGTTCATGAAGGATGCTAAAGCACTCGGGATTATTCAAAATGCAGTTTCCGATCAGATTTTTCCTCAATTCGCCAACACAGATTCATCTAAAATGGCTTGGGATATGTTGTATGGTGAATACCATGGTGGTGATCAGGTACGATCGGTGAAACTTCAAAATCTCATACATGAGTTTGGATATGCTAGAATGAGAGATGGTGAATCTTTATCTAGTTATCTACTCGTTTAAATAAGATGATTAATCAAATGAAAACATTTGGAGGGACACTTTTGAATGAGAGATTAGTACAGAAAGTGTTGATTAGTCTGAGTAAGGCTTATGACCCTATATGTCTTGTGATTGAAAATACTAAATGTCTTGAAACTGTTGAGCTACAAGAAGTGATTGTAATTTTGAAAAGCCAATAGCAGCGTTTTGATTTACACTCCTCCGATGCAACTGAGAAGGCTTTAGCCTCTTTATCTGTGAGTAACAATGGATAGAATAAAAGCAATACTCAGTCTGGTAATTACCAAGCACAGAAGAGTAATTACCAAACAAGTACAAGTAAAACAATGCTTAATAATGGTGTTATCGTCGCCCAAAGGCAAATCCATAAATCTCATCAATGCTTGTACTTTCTAGGGGTATTATAATCGCCCGAAGACAGTACCTGTCCATCATCTGAAGGTGAAGCTATACGACACTGGGTTACGCCAGTGAAGAAACATGGTAGGCCCCATCACCCGAAGGTGAAGCTGTACACCTCTAGGTTACACTAGAGAAGAAACATATACATATAACATCACACACCAATACTAGTCGTGGCTAATGAAGTTGTTCGACATTGGTTTCACCAGTAAAGCTGGGGGGTATAACATAAGTATCCTCAACTGTGTCCTATAGCCATAGATGTCTACATATCCGTGTTGTGTGGATGCGTTGTACGATAACCCACTAGATATTTACCGAAAACATATCTCAAAAACTCATGCCAAAACATCAGAGCTCAAAAGCTCAAAACCTTGTCGAATAAAGCCATGTCGTAAATCCACTGAATTTTTTACCTATAAAACAAATAGTTCATAACCTTTAATAGAATGTAAATTAGATAAATCATAAATATTTCATAAAGCAATTTAAATAAATCACAAATTCTCCATAAACCAAAAATATGGAAATCTGTAAAACATACTTTAAAATATGCTCAAATTATGAAATAAGATATGCATGCAATCCTAAGATTTATAAAATATTCATTTGAGAAGAAGTCCACTCACAGTTATTCCACTACTTGAGATGCCGCTTGAACGAGGGAGGACGAGGTCAAACCATAATTAGAGACCAATTAATAAAACGTTACTAGAACGATAGAATTTGTGAAAACAAAATGCGGATTTGGAATCAGGATGTCAAAATTAGTCTAAGAGAAGTCTGACCAAAACCTAAAAAAGTCACTTAAAAGTACGTTGACAGTCAACTGGTCAACGGTGATCGAAAAGTCAATGGGTCAGGTCAACGGGTCAGATTTGGGCTTGGGTTGTTGGGTTGGACCGGAGTTATTGAGTTGGGCCTGAGTTGGATCTGGTTTGGATCCGAGTTCTAGGCCTGATGGATTGAACCTGATTTAGGGCTAATGGGCCAAGGGTTTTGGGTCATGAAAAATGAGTTAAAAGATTTGAGCTAGATAATAGGTTGGACTTAGTTTGGGTTGTGGGTAGGGTCGACCCAGTTGAACTCACAGGTCGTAGGCCCCAATGAAGAAGAAAATCCGGAATTTGGGGATTTTGGCCGAAAAATTTCTCTGACTTCGATTTGGGGTCAATCTCAGCCATTTCACATGTTCTACCTACCAAAATGAAGATAACCAAGTGTAGATTAGGATTATACCTTTCTCCGAGTCAGCCGTGGCCGAAGTTGACCAGAAATTTGCTCGCAAGCCGTTGGGTTTCTCACCGAAAATGGAGATTCAAAGAACAAGCATGCATGAATATATATATATATATATATATATGTGTGTATATGTGTGTATGTATAATCCCAAACTCAACCCCAATTCATCAAAAATATCTAATAGAACTTACCTCCTTCCAAAATTACAGAAATTTAAACACGAATCACGCCAGAGCTGGACAAAGGGATTTGGAGCTCACGGTTTCATTAAGTCCAGTGTCTTCCCATCATCTGATCGTCCATGCAAGCCCAAAAATTGACTCATGTGGTCGAGTTACACTCTAATTTGGTAAGATTGTTCTAGATTTCACTGGGAAAGTGTGTTGGTGTGAGTGGTTCCCTCGGTGGTTCTCGGGAAGAGAGAGAGAGAGAGAGAGAGAGAGAGAGAATACAGAAAAGAGAGGTGAGGGACAGGTTCGAGAAAGAGAGAGATAAGTGTCAGCACTGTCAGGGGAGTGAAAAGAAAACCATGGGATGATCCTACGAACCCACGCAGGGGTATTTCCGTAAATTTGTACAGAGTTTGAAAAACGGGTAGTTTCACAACGTGCGTTGGGCTTTGCTTCATTCATATGGTAGCAAGACTTCCTTGAAACGGATTCTTGGAAGAGGTAGACAGAAACAGCCGAAGAAATTAACCAACAATTTGTGCCCTAAGCTATGATGAAATATAGTTTACCAATGTTCCTATAATCTTTAATTTGTGAGCACATGCAACCAAAACCAATTGGTGATGAGTGGAGACACCCAATATATGTATTTTCAGGACAAATATAAAATAAAATAAAATATGCGTGATTTTACATTGGCTAACATTTTCTAGTGCTCTTATAAATGTGCTCATTTAGTGAGTTCATATTTCATGTATAACAATATTTACTGTATTTGTATTTAATAGTTTTGGCGAAGGGAAGCAGCAAGCTTGAGGCAACAATTGCGGTACTTCGAAGAATGTCACAGGTACAATCACTGCTTTTTATTGAATCTTCAACATAACCTAGCAATTTGATTCAAGTACCAAAACCTAACAATGCATATTTCATGATGCTTACTGGAAAAGGATATCATACTAACTACGGTTCATCTAACTACCAAACCAGAAAACCTTTTCGACATGGAGGATGAGTAATGAAAAGATGTTTCTTGATTATTCATAAGAAACCGAACAAATAATTAGTAACAATTAATTAAATGCGGTATCAGTGGGCAAGAAGCTACCGAAAAAAAATAAATAAATAAATAAATAATTAGTATCCAGCTGCTCAGCCCTAACATTGAATATACAGACGCAAAATCAAGAAATCTTCACAAAAGAAAAAACGAAACGTCTCTGAACTCCTAAAAACTGAGCTCCCGAAAAAAGTTTCACATCTTGTCTAATGTATTGATCTAACATATAAAAATATTAATTATATAATAAAAATGTATTGATAGCAAAATAGTTTCACATGTTGCCAAACATGTATTGATCTAACATATAAAGATATTAATTATATAAGAAAGGTTCTGCTAATTTCTTTATATTACAGAGATTTGAGCCAGAGTACTCAATCCCTTCAATCATCTATTTAGGAACTTGAGGTAGTGACTGTTATTGTTAGTGTTCTTATTTATATGGTGATGAAACGATCCCGGTGAAGTCTACTTTTCGGCAGTCAAAACTAGTTTTTTGGGGACATAAGCCAGTAATCCTTTTGTATGTATTACATGAGTTGGAATCGAAGGGAACGCCAAGGATTTTAGGTCTAGTGTAATTGCTCTACTAACTTAAATAGTTTGCGTGACAAGGGAGATTTTGTCGCGCAAAGCATTCTTAGGTTGCACAAAAACTATGGCGACCAAAAAATCGTCGTGCAAATTTTGTCGCGCAAAGGTCGTGGAAAAAGACATTGCGCGATGAACAATTTCAAATTCGTCGCGCATCCAAACAATTGTGCGACGCTTTATTACTCGTCGCGCTAAAGTTATACGGACAAAGGTGTCCATCGTACGATATGAATGGGTACAAATGCACTTTGTGACTAGTTTGTCTCAAAAAGTTTGCGCAATGAAAAATGTAAGAGGCGCGTGGTAATGCACGACGAAGTAGTAAGATGCGCTTAATTTTGCGCGATGACCGGTCGGAGTCGCGCAAGTCTAATATTAATAAATAAATAAATAAAATAGATTACAAGGAAAATTAAAAAAAAAAAAAAAGATTTCATACTAATGGCAAAAGAAAAAAAAAAGCAAATTAATGAATAAAAAAAACAAATTTTATTTATAATATAAATAAAAATGTACGTACAAATATAAAGTTTTAAAAGAAAGCGGGAACAAAACTACGAAAAAAAAGCGAAAAAATCTATAGACATGTCCTTTGGAGGTGCTTGGTAATCTTGCTGCTGGTTGGGGACGGGGTCGGAGGTCGACGAGCTTGATTACTGTGCTTGCTCAATGTGGAAGAGCTCTGAGGGCAATGTGATGCGTGAATTATACGCACACAAATTAACCCTCTTGTTGTCAAATTGTAGTAAGGATGCAAGTAGGGATCGTTCTAGACCGGGGATTAGGAGGGCTTGCTAAAACCTCTAAATTGACTCAAAAACATAAAAACAAAGTTAAAAACGTTCACAAAGACTCAAAGGACTCAAAACAGGTTCAAAAGACTCAAAACTGCCTAAAAACACTAACTAGGCAGTTTCTGACCTTAAACACAAATTTGGACGAATTTAAGATTAAAGGTTGATTCAAAACACTTTAAAACACAAATTAAGACACTTTAACACTAAACTAGACTCAAAGAATGCAAAACTAAAAGTTAAAACACTTAAACAACCCTAAAACCCAAAACAGCAACTAGAAGACTCAAAACTGCCTAAAAACCACTTTCTGGGCAGTTTTGAGCACCTACACTAATTTGGACGAAATTGGATGAAAACTTGAATCAAAATATTTAGAAACACAAATCAAAACACTTTCTAACTAATCTAAGACTTCAAATTAAAGGGGGATTTGTTTTGGAGGAAAATTGAAATAACGAAACAAGTTAATAAACTAGACAGAATGTAAATATGAAATTGATGAAATGGAATGAATGGATGCTAGCCAAGGGGTTCATCTCCACACATGTTACACTTGCATAATAAAAAGATTTCCAATTGCATTTCAATAAATTATGAAACTCATCACCCCGGGTTAATTAGGTCCGCTTAAATTAACCTTCAAATCTTCCTAACGTTATTGAATTGGATGATTGCATACGACAACCCAAAACATTTCCCACAAGTCCCCTACATGATTGCATAATAGAGATACAAGCAAGAATCATTACGCTCTATGAAAATTATAAGTGTTGACGAGGCATTCGTTACTATGATTGCATGAAACTTATGCCAAGAATTCGTTTAACGCGATTGTTTATAAGCAACCTCCACTACTTGTGAATATAAGTTCGTAACTATTAGGTGAAACTCACTTATATTCTAGCGTCATATTCATGCATGAAAATTAAGCGTGCACTCTCAATAAACATACATAAATAAGTTATCAATCAAACAGTTAAACAAATTGAATCCACGACTTATGAAATGCAATTAGAAGTAATCAAATCAAAACGCAAGCATAAACATATATTTCGAATCCCCCCCTAGCCAAGGGGGGGTTTAGTTCCTCATGATACAAAACAAAGAGAATCAAAGAAACACCTAAACATTCCAACAACTCAAACTTGAATTGTATGAACGTTTAGGCCCTCTTCTCTTCCATTCCTCATTCGTACAAAACAAAGAGTATTGAAATTAAACATTGAAATCAAAGAAACACCTAAACATTCCAACAACTCAAACTTGAATTGTATGAACGTTTAGGCCCTCTTATCTTCCTCTTCGTCGTAGCACAAGGTCTAAGGATAGTTTGATGGTGTGAATGGTTTGGGGAGTGGTGAAAATGGAAGATGATTGGTGTTTGGATTATAAGGGAATGGGGACTCACGGCTAGGAAGAAGTGGATGTGTTTGTGGTGTGGTGTTGTGTATGAAAATCTGAAAATGGAAGAGTGAATGAATGAGAATGAATGCAATGGATGCTTATTTATAGGTGAATGAAGGAAGAAAAGAGGGAATATGACAGCTAGGTTGTGATGATGAATGCATGTGGGAGTGTGGCTGAAATGATTATGAAGCATGTGGCTGATTTATGAAGGGAATGCATGTGGATTAAAGTGGAATGACAGCTAGGTTAAATGATGAATGCATGTGCAAAGTTGGTTGAATGATTATGAAGCATGTGGGTGGAAATGCATGTGGAATGGCTGTTTGTTTATGATGATGAATGCATGTGGAATATGTTGGAATTGCATGTGGAATGGCTTAAAGGATGGAAGTGCATGTGGCTCTAAGGTAGCCTTCTAGAAATCAGGTTTTTAAGCCCCCTTGCAACTCCCTAACTGAATTCAAGCCTTTCAAATTCGTCCATCCTCATGCCTCCATGCTTGCACTATCCAATCTTGGCCCAAAAATGCTCTAGAATGCTCCAAATTGCTTCGTTTTGCATACTTTGACACTAAAACCTGAAATTGCACGAAAATAACTTTAAACACTATAATTAACATAGTTTAGCTAATTAAATGCAAGAAAACAAGCTAACTAAGTCGTATAAATATGCTCCTATCACAATGGTGCAGAAAAACCAGGGAGACGTATTCTGTAGGAACTGAGGGCTTATACAAGCATTGACATTTAAGACTTGTACGATGCCAGCTCACTCCTCAGGCCAGCGACTTCCTGCTTTAAAGCCGTAACCTGGCTCTTTGACTACGGGGATGATGAGGCTCCACTCTCCCGCCGCCTGGCACTTCCCATCCCCCGACAATATGTCCCTGGCCTCTGACCGAAAGTTTGGTCCAACGTCTCTGGAAACTCTGCTTGAAAAGCCCATCCATTAAATTCGTTGCTTCTCATCAGTTTCATCAACATCCTAATGAACCTACATTAATGCCAATAACAATAAATTAGTAATTTAAAAAATATTACGTTTTAACAAAAATAATTGTTCTTTATTTACCACATACTTACCAATAAGTCTCCCAGCATTGACTTCTTCAACTCCTCAGGGACTTTTTTTCAAGACTCAAACTCAGCAGAACAATCTCTCCATACCAAATTCCCAATGTCATACTTAAATTCAGTGTACGCCTCAGCCAAATTTTTGCCTTCAAAGTACGGCACTTGCTTTCGTCGATACCTCTCTAATCGCACTACAAGTTTCTTTTTGCCAAAACCTTCTCCAGAATCGGCCATTTTTTTAAAACAAAAAAATTTCAAAAACTAGGGCTTTGAAACTGTGTTTATATAGTACTAGGACACCTTTGCGTGACGAACATATTCATCACACAAATCTCCAAGTTCATTGTGCAAAATGCGTCATAAATGCACAATAAATTGGAAGGTTTGAACGCAATCTAACTATGCTTTGCGCGACAAACACATGGATTTATCGCGCAAAGATGTTTGACGCAACGAAGGTAGTGTTGCGAAATATATTGCGCAACGTTTAAAATAAGGGAACTTTAACGAAAAGCTCACAGTTCACTTTAACGAAAAACCACATTTTTACATTAAAAAGTCAATCCTGGTACTATTCACTTTACCCTTTATTTTGTTCTTATCGTTAAAATTCAAAGTTTTCAAGCCCCTTTTTATTAGTTTTCCTATAAAATAATTGTAATTATAAAATATTTAATACCTTAAATATTTATTCTAAAAATAATTAATACTTTAAATATTTATTCTATAAATAATTAATACCTGAAATACTATTCTATAAATAATTAATACCTTAAATATTCATTCTATATATAATTAATGACACACCCCGACCGAAATCAAGACGTGTTGGCCATCACATGAGGATGACGTAGCCATGTGCACAGTGTAGAAGCAATAATAATAAAACAATTACAAATAAATAAAAACCAAACTACTAGATAAACTGGTTAAAGTAATACGCTAGTGTAAGACTAACTATGATAAACATAATCAGAGCACAAAAAACATAAGTGCAATCCAGAAGAACGAATACTAATTATACAACACCTAAAGGTGATCCTACATTTGCATTGTTCTGTCAGAACCATCGTTAAAGTCCTCGTGAGCCACCAAAGCGCTTCAAACTAGAATCTGGAAGGGCGCAAAACAGAAAGTGTGAGTGGGCAAAAACAAAGCTTTTCAAAATCATTTCATTCTCAAAAGTTCTAACTCATCTCCGTAAAACCTGTATAATTTCCCAGAAAATAGAATATATATACACACACCACAACCATGCTCAAAATAACAACATTCACAAATATGCTATATCGAATATCTCAGCATAAAGTATAAGTAAACCAGGTGATATCAATCAATGCAAATGATGTGTCAGCCGGAGTTACCTAACGTGACCTGTACTGGCTAAATCTAGAGCTCAAATCCACATCTCAACAACTATACATGCACACGAGTCGGAACCACCTAAAGTGGTCTGTACGACAGGATTGAGTGTAAATAAATACGCTCAAGTGCTATGATTACGTGAAGACTGTGCGAATAATCGCAGGTCACCTACGAGTCGGAACCACTTAACGTGGTCTGAACGACAGGACTATGCACCTAACTTGGATCCAAGGTGAGCGTACAATGCGGGAGGTGAACATCACGTGAAGGACTGTGCCCTACTCTGGGCGGGAACACTAACACTGGGGTGCAGGTTTATGAGCTCTCAATGCATCTCACATAACCACTAATTCACAACCATAATTTATAAACTTACCTGGCACTTACCTGTGTGTCCGCTGCACCAAACATACATACATGCAACTACTAATGCATAAATAAATAGGCAGACATTTTGCATGGCATTTTAAAACATATTAGCATTCAATTTCATTTTCTAGGAAAATTCTCAAGTATATAGGTATATACGAAAAATCAAAAGCCCATTCACTGGTATATATGGAAGGGTCGTCACCCCCGAGCCTCGAGTGACTGCGCTCGTCCTTAGGATAGGTCTCACCTATATGCGAAACAACTATAAAAACATCAATTTAAAGCACATAACCAAAACTAGGTAACAACTTCTCATACAATGCTCAAATGGGGTGTTTGAATATACCAACGTGATCTACTCAACCTCACGAACATCCCCATATTTTTAAAATAATTTTCTGACAACCCACGCGCAGTCACGCTTTCTGGCCAAGGCACGGCCAGATGCGCCGCCCACGCGCGAGTGCGTGCCAAGCACACTGACAGTAAGAGTTAACGTTGTTAGGGAATATTCTATTAAAACAAGCATAGACCGTTAGAACTAACTTGACGCCGTTAGAATATTCCGTCAAACTTGACGGAATATTCTGTCGTCTTCTTCCTTGGTTCGCCGGACCATCGCCGTTGTTAGAAAACTGGAAAAAAAACTTTAAACCTTTATATCTCAGTCGTTTTTCATCAAATTTCATGAAATCGGTACCAAATTGAAGCTCATAACTTGTAAAACATTCCCTTACCTGCTTAAAGCCCCAAAAACGATGGAATATCGCTGGAAAAATCGTGATATTCTGATCACCTCTGCAACTCACTATTCTCGAGTTTCCTGACGTCCAATTTCTTCCAAAATGCTTCTCTGAGCTTTGTGAGAGTGTCTTAAAGCTCACTATAACCTTAGAATCCTCTGAAACCATCGCATTTACGTATGCATGAACATTACCTCGAACTGGGATCTCAGGTTCTCGGGTTTTCGAGCGTTTCAAGTTCTAAAAATGGTATGGATGTACTCAGGAGCTTGCCAAGAACTCAAAGACACCAATTAAAGCCTCAATCCATGAGTGGTTTATGGTGTTCAAAGGTTGTCCGTACGGTTTGTACAAAAAAATGCAGAAAATCGAAAGAGGAAGGAGAGAGAGAGCACACAGGTGTGTGTGTGTGTGTGTGTATGTGTTTGTGTGGTCCAAAGTTGTCCACCCCAACCAACCAAAACAAAAGAAAATAAAACCCAAGTCTTTTTTTCCAAAAAAAAAAAAAACTTAGGAAATGTTAAAATTGTCCAACTTAAGTACATATTACACACAACACACTTTAACATCCAAGGGTAATTTCGACATTTCATGCCATCGATACTAATATTTCGGGACGGGCTGTGACAATTAAAGCCTTAATCCATGCAATTATTTTCAGCATAAGTACGATATTCATTGAAGATTAAAAACACATATAAACCGAGGATAGAGTGTTTACATTAGGTTTCAATAAAAAAAAACCCAACAGGAATTGAAACCTAATTAAGTCCAAATACATAACTTATAAAAACAAAAAAAAACCTTAAATTTAAATATTGTCATACAAAACATAAATTTAAAACTACTATTTCGATGGTCTTGGTCCATTCCACAAGACTTCATAACACCATCGATTGTAACATCCCTCCAACGCATTATCCATCAACTTCATCAAATGTTCGTTTGTATCATCATCAAGAGTATACTTACACTGTTACACATATATGCAAATAATTAATTCCAACATATAACTAAAAATTTCACAAACTTAATTATTAATCCATCAACAATATACTTACTAATAGTTCATCCATCATAGCCTTGTTCACATTCCCTGGCACATCTTCCCAAGAACGTCACTCAGCAGTGGGACAATTATTCCCCATGGCTACAGCGATCACATGCGCAAACTCAAAATGTTCCCTCAAATTATGCGAGTTGGTGTCGCGTACACTCTTATCCTTGTTTTTATCCGCCATCCCAGCACGAATAGAATTTTGAAGAATAAAGATAATAGAATTATGAAGAATCAGGACAACAAAAGCGCATATTTATAGGAAGGTTAAGACCTTTGCGCAACGAAGCCTTTGTCGCGCAAACACCTATATTAAATGTGGTATTGATTTCTAGGATTCACCTATAGTAAATGGTCAAAACTAACAGGAACTTGCGTGACGAATCATTGGTCGCCCAAGTGCCCCTCTTTCGTCGTGTAAGTTTTTCGTGCCAAACAAAATTACCCCACGTTTTCTTGCTGACTATACGCAACGCCAACAATTATTCGTCATACAAAGTGTTCTTGCGCAACGAATATCTTCATTGCGGATTTTTTTTTTCTTTTTTTTTTTGTTCCTATCTTTTCTATTTTGTGCGACAAAGTATATTTTTCGTTGCTCAAGTACATCTTGCGCAACAAAATACTCTTCGTCGCGCAAGCTGTGTTTTCTACTAGTGTTGGGTTTTAACTTTTAGGGCATTTAGGTCTATTTAGGTGTGTTTTTTTGCCATAGTTAATAGTTTTTTTAAATAAAAAATGGCATTTCTAAAATTGGAAGTTAAGTTTTGGCTATTTATGATAAATTCTCCTTTTAAACCAACTGAAATGCAACTTTGTAAAAATCGCTTCACAATATCCTGATACCGTTACTTAAATATTGCTAAAACACTTAAGGTTTTCCCATGAAATGTGAGATAATGATTTATTGGAAAAAAAAATGGTATCACACACACACACACACAAAGTAACATTTAGTATATATGAATTAGTTTGTGAGAACGTTTAGAGTATACCCTTACACCTTCTGTAAATTATGCAGGCAGTTAATGGGGGAAGAACTTTCTAGTTTGAGCGCCAAAGATCTACAAAATTTGGAAAGCCAACTTGAGATGAGTTTGAAAGGTGTTCGAATGAAAAAGGTATCAAAAGCCTTAGCCCTGAATATAGTCACACTTAATAATTTCATGCTGCCTTATTTATTTAACACATGCATGGCACTCATTGTTTTATTTTTTCTATTCTGCAGAGCCAGATATTTAATGATGAAATAAAAGAACTAAACCAGAAGGTTGCCCAAGAGCTGGCTCAATTTCTCCCAGTTGATTAATATTAATTCATTTTATTGGGGGTAAATTGATGCTTATTATCGTTGTTTTTACTTTATTTTCAGGGATCTTTCATACATCAAGAGAATATAAAACTGCATAAGAACCTAGACCTCGTAAGTAAAGAGAATGAGGAACTGCAAAAGAAGGTATTGTCTATACATTAAGTTCTACTTTTATATTTATCACATATTATAATTCATCAAAAGGATAGAGAAAGGCAATGGGTAGAGGGAAAGTGAGAGGAATCAAATGAGCATAAACCTTAAAACCATTATGTTATTTTACTTATCAAGCAAATGTGAAGATGTCTTCTCTAGCAAACACTAACACAAAATAAAATATTTTGACACCAGGTTTATAAAGCAAGGGATGTGAATTGAGGAAACAAAGGCTCTCAGCCTCCATATAGCATCAATAATGAATATGATTTGCATGCACCCATCCGTTTGCAGCTAAGCCAGCCACAGATTCAAACTTAGCCTAGGCATGGGCCTTCGAACAATGAAGTACCAGCAAAAGCTATATATAATCCTATTAACGTGTAATATATCATACCATATTGATCCAATGGACCAACCCCAAAAAGAGAGAATAAGCAAAGCTCACTGCTTTGATTGACATCTCTTGAAAGTGTGCAAACATATTACAAGTTGTAGATAGCTATGTCATAATGCAGAACGCAGGCAACTTGCACCGCAATGAAAGTCAACCTTCAAGGAGTGAAATGTCATACAGTAAATGGATCCAACGGAAGGACCAACATCTTTGGTATGAAATGTTCTGTCAAACAAACTTTAGCATTCTTGTAAGAGAATTAGACAACCAGTTAGGTGTGAATTTATGCAATAATGGCAAAGAATTGTGTTAGGACCAACTTTATCCATATTAAAAATGTGTTGTGACCAACCAAAGAACAAATGTCAAGATTGACTCCTACTTCCAAGACACTTTTTAGAGACCCAAGATTTCATTTTACCACTCACTACAGCCAGTCTATGGTATGCCTAAAAGATAAAATGAACAAAAACAGTTGCAAACATAATATATATATATAACACCAAGCTACTAACACTTCTGATTTGAAGAGAAAATGTTTCATGATTGGTATTTATTGTTATCCTAAAATCAAAGAGGGGTCTATGTGCCTACATTAATATCATTTCAAGAAATACATGTCTTATTTAACAATCGATTTTCTGCTTTTCTATGAAATCTATTAGATCAATCTCAACCACTGATTTTAGTTTTGAATACCAAACAAACAATGTGTGCAGCAATCAATAAGTGAATCTACTATAAGATAACACAAGATTCTTACCTTTGTGGAAACTATGACCAGTATTGCAGCTCTTAGTTGCTAAATAATCCTTTGTTGCTGGTGGCCCAATATTGGAGCAAATTTTTGTGGCAATTGATGTTAAATGCATAAAATAAAGGTAATGAAAATAAATTAATCACCCATTTCATTAATCGCCATTTTCTAAACAGATGCAGAATGATCTTTATTTACATTTGGGGTTCAACAGATGTTAACAAAACTCTGCTTAATCTTCTAAAAGGTGGCCTAGGAGTTTCCAGATAAGAAGGGATGCAATCCAATTTTCACTACCTCCATTTCTCTTGAAAACTAAGTAAATATTTCTATCAAAGTCTCCCAGATGAGATATTTGCATTCCTTTTTTTTAATTCACTTTGCATGCTACAAATGAATATTTGTTATCTTGCTTGGTTTGAAGAGTCATTCGATTATTTATTATTTTTCGTTTAACAAACTGGGTAAAAACCCAAGAAAGCTAAGTAAAGAAAACTTAGACCATAGAACTATGAGTGTTCCGAAGATTATGTTTTTGGATTAGTGATCTGTTTCGATATTTTTGAATACCAATATGGAAAAGGTGACAGAAATAGTTCATGGGAGAAAATTGACTCATCTGGGAGATATTTTATTCATTAAATATTCTAGATTCTTTCATACTTACAATTGCTTCAGTTTGAATTATCTGGTGGTTGGAAAAGGAAGAGATATCAAGCAACATTCAAATGAACAATTTGAAGACCTGTTGACTTTAACAACTGATTGCAGAGTTTATCAAGTTGGAGGATTGCCTACATATATCTGGGAAAGAGAATTAAATCATTGGTATAGTTATAAGAAAAGATGATATAACATAAGTAATTAAGTATAACATCATGCATGGATCATTTTTTTATGAGTGGCCTATGGTGGGCCGTTAAGGAGATGAGTTCTCCATGGACTTGTCTTTGTGCAGATGGCGGCGTTGCGATTGAGTTAGGAATAGAAAGCCTACATATCTTTAGGAGGGGAATCAAATCGTGTGTAGTTCAAATTTTGCTCCTCTAATTGATCTAGAGGTGTCTGAGGGAGGTCCATCTTAGAGTGATGGGGATTCTTCTTCTTGGCGTTAGTCCGCTGCCCTCTATAAATACAATTGATGTTGAGAGTAGGTTTCTTCACTGGGCACCAATCATCATCATCATTGCACTTATCAGACCTGTCCCTATCATTTGGTTCAACTGAATCCTCCTTTCTTGCCTTGCCCATAATGTGTTCCCAGCAATGTCCCTGATCCAACAATTCTTCAATGTGGTCTCTCAGAAATTTCAAGTTGCATGGCTGGTACTTTAGTGGAAAGAGCAATATTCGTTTGGATTTTTGTTTGCTAGGTGCTTAGGAAGTGACTTTGGACATTGGAGGTAGGTTTGTCCTTGATGTTGTGGAGAATGTTGTTGACATTAGTGTTCAAAGCGGTGTATAACTTTGGCTTGGTAGAGCTTGCATGTCCCTACGCCTCTTTTGTTTGTCTAACGTAGAGAAGGTGGAAGAGTGTCATGTCGTTCATCCTTTAGTCCATCTTTTTGGTATAGTCCTAATCAGTGACTATCTTCAGGGTTTTATTGTCCTAGTTTGTGAGGTCATCTTCCACTTCGATGCACTCCGCTAGAGTAACATAGTCGTATTTTCTTTTATTCAGCTTCTGGGAGAGAAATGAATGGACATAGAGGTCTTGTTTAAATAACATGGGGGCCAGCCTATTGTTTGGCTTATCTACTCTACTAATTTAGCACAGAAATGCTTTAGGTAAGCCTTAAGACTTTCATCCTTGCACTAAGAAGTCATTCTGAACATGGCCTCATGACGTTTGTGGACATCATAGTACACTGAGAAAGTGTTGGTCAAAAGGTCAGCTAGGCTCTCGAAGCAATCGACGGATCTGGCTAGCAACACCGGGAACCATCTCATGGTAGGTCTTTCTAGTGTGGATGGGAACATCTTACACAGCCAGGCATCATTAACACCATGGCATTTTGGTAATGCATAATGTGGTAATCCGGAACCGAATCTTCGCGGAAAGTCTTGAACCGAGGCTGAGTGAACTTCTCAAGTGGTGGCATAGACTCAATTGTCAAGGAGAGGGGGCTTCTGATCTGAATTGTCAACTTAATAGGGATGAGAGGGTGGTGTTCTCTCATCGTCACTTAAGAATAGTTAGTACTACGATTTAGTGATATTCCTCTTCACTTGTGAGTAAGAAGTCTTAGGTCCGATTCTCGTCAAAGGAGATTTTGAGCCACATTATTGCTAACCCATTGTGAGGCTTAACCTACTCCCTCACCCCTTAATTAGTGTAGATAATATCGTTTGTTCAGAAAAAATTAGTTGATTATCAACTCTAGCCTTTGCTTGAACTATTATTTAGAAGAAGAAAAAAAATGTTAAACATAAGAAACCCAAACATATACATATAAGCTAATTAAGTGTGCAAACTTTCTTTAAGTTGGTACATATATAATAAACATAGAGAACAAAATAAACTTTTTCTGGCATCTTTATTTCAAATCCTCCTTCACACGCTAAATGGTTGTCAATAGTTCACCTACATAGAATCCACATAAATCAGCAATTGACCAACAGACACACATAGCAATTTGAGAGTGTATTTAATTACCAATTAAAAAATAATAAAAAATTCAATCACAATAATAAAAATTACATATTAATTTTGAGAAAATAGTTTCCTCTCATATTTATTTATTTCTGTATCTTAATTTTGTTTTATTTTACTCAATTTAAATACTTCAAATAAACATAAGTCCCTAAATATATTTAATGAGACAAGAACAGGTGGTGGGCACAGACTGTATATATTAATAGCAGGCAGGCAAGACCAATGAGAATTGAGAAAGCCAAAACGCCCTCCCAAAAAGGAAGAGAGCGCCCTTGGTTTCGCAAACAACACGTGTCAATCACCTATACGTCACCCTCTCCCATCATTTGTGCACACACACACACCACGAATCCCGGGCCTATCTGGGAGTCCGAGGATTCCCAATTCCCCACGCTTTTCATTTACACTCGCCAACACTCGCTCCCTTCGTCTTACGCGTGCCCATTCTGATTCCCTCCTGCTGGTCAACAAGCTTTGTTTGATTCACCCGACAAAATGTCGGCCTCAAAAAGCGAGTAGAGTGGACTTCGTCTACTCTACCGAGTGGGCTTTCCGGTCCAGACCATTACCTCTAGGCGGTTTCCCTCCATGGTCCATACCATGTTTCCACAAAAAAACAGCGTTTCTACTTTTGTGGCATTCCATATAAAGTATTTATAAATTTTAGTTAGAGGTTACATCTGAAAAAATTAAGGAAAGAGCGGAGGAGGTTGCAACTGTTTTCTCCATAGCTTGTTTAATCTTCTAAGTAAGCTCTCTGTACCTTTATTTTTTAGGAAAAAAGACTTCTTTTTGGGGATAAGTACGATGGATGATCTTTGTTCTTTTGGGTTTTCTTGGTTCTTGTTGATGATCTCGTTTTGCTTCATATTACTGTTATTTCTGACATGCTTTTGGTCTCATTTGCTTTAGGCTTTGATAATCAATTCTCTTGAATAGAAAAAATCTACTGAATATGAGTAACTGATGTAATTTCTCTATGTATCTACCGATCTAATAGAGAAGGTATGGGGAGAGGAAAAATTGTGATTCGAAGGATTGACAATTCGACGAGCAGGCAAGTGACCTTTTCGAAGAGAAGAAATGGGTTGCTTAAGAAGGCTAAGGAGCTATCAATCCTTTGTGATGCTGAGGTTGGACTGATTATCTTCTCTAGCACCGGCAGGCTTTACGATTATGCTAGCACTAGGTTAGATCTCTCTCTCTCTCTCTCTCTCTCTCTCTCTCTCTCTCTATATATATATATATATATATATTGCCTGTGAACTATTTTGTTGGACTGAGTTTGAACTGGAACTAGAACTACTTGTTCTATATTTTGTCTTCAATTTTCCAAGCTGACTAAGTAGAATTTATGTATCGATGTTGATTATGCTGTATGTTCTAGCATAGGATTTGAGGTGGACTTGTTATTGGACTAGTTCAGACAACATATATCAGCTGTAGCGTCCGTTTTTTATGATCTGTATAAAGCATGTGGAATTACTTACCCGAAGATGTTATTTGGCCATGTGGTTGCTTCCTATCTTATGTCATGACTGTGTATAACTTTCCCTTGTCTTTTTGCATAGGAACTCAGAAAGTTATATTATCTCTGATACGAAATTGCCTTTAAAAACTTCCAACGCAAAAAAGGTTACAGATAAAAGTATTTACATATGAATGCTTCTCACAGTGTGCTATATAAAGGATTCAATTATCATATATAGGCAACAACTGACTATTTACGTATAATGATAAATAGAGACAGGATGGAGTGAATGCATGATACAAAATTACATTAAATTTAGTTATTTAGTAATGTTCAACGAAGAGGGGATTTTGAGGTGTGTGCGTTTGGGTGTGTATGTCTCTCTCAGTAATTAGTCCGTTTTCTCTTTCGCAGTTGCTTTTTTTTTTTTTTTTTTTTCCGAGAGATAGAGTTTATGACACTTTAAGGTCTAAAGCATGCACGAGGAGGACATTCAGCAACCCCATGCATGCTTCTCCTTACTTTTTCGTCCTTAAGATTAATTGTGTTGCATCAGATGTGTTGTCTCCTCATTGATTTGTCAGTAGTTCTTACAATGACAAAGTTCTTAGATGAAGTGTACTTGGTCATACCTCCTCCAACTGGAATAGCACAACCATGTTAATTCATGCTATTAAATCGTAGCTACGTTTATATCGTCGACAAATACACTTTAATACCATAACCATGGACAAACTTACTTTATAAGTGCCCTCATCGTTCGCAGACTCATTTGTGACATTTTGACAACTTGATCAACAGCGATGATGTGGGAAGATAGTTTACTTCTCTATATATACCTAATCTCCATGTTAAAAACCGATTTCTTTTCTGATCTCCGTCCACGATGACTTCATAATGTTCAGTGGCACTTGGTTGTTGTAGCCTTTGAATGCTCGCTTGTGAAGAGAACCTTTAGCAATTTGACGTGAATGATTTCTTCACCATTGTTTTATCTTCGTTCAGTGCCTTAATCAAGTGAAGGAAGAGTGTTTGTACTAATCAGAACAAAGATTTAGTTGAAACATGATATTGTGGTTATATTAGGTTATATTTTGTTACTCTTAAGTTTTATCTATATTGGATCGTGCAATTTTGTAAGCGTTAAACAAAATTTTGAGAGTTGCCCAGCAGGCTATAGGCTATATCAATAATGCTTAGAGAATCTCTAACATTACTAGCTATAATTTGATAGTTAGAGTGAAAATGATTCAAAATCTATTATAACTAGTCAGTTTAGTATGAACGTATCTCCAACATTACTAGCTAAATAATTCATCTGCAGGAGCTAGTTGTTTTCGTGAAAATTGTTGATTCATTTAAGAGGGACAAAGCCTCATGAAATATTGTAGCTTCTGTAAAATATTGCAAGCCTTAAAATCATTTTCCATCTCAAATGATTCAACAAATGAAATGAATAATACAGAAACTATAAGTCCTCAATCACCTAAAAAGTGCTTGAACTTTCCAGCCATGGTCAAAGCCAAATAAGCCACGGACACCAAATCAATGTGCCAGAAGCGAAACTTGGCATTCATTTGTTAAAACTTATTGAAATGATAGAATATTTGATTTGAGGGGTGCAACGAAATGGTATCTTGGTTAATTTGCTAGTAGAGCCTCAAATGAGTCAAACAAAAAATAATAATCTTGAAAGAAACGGAGGATTCAAAATTCCAAGAGATGGTGGAATTAAGGAAAGCATCAGAATAATGTACGGAAGTTGCACTCAATTTTCTTCAGAAGATAGTTCTTGTGGTAGAAAGAAAATTAGGATTTAAGCTTTTGTGGCAGAGTCTATTAGGATTTACAATTTAGGTCCAAAATTGAAAATTCTGTCAACTCTCTGTTAATTATTAGTACTTGAGCCATACATATGAGGCTAGAACAAAACTTTCCGTTAATTGTTAGTACGTGAGGTTTACATGTGAGACTAACTTTATCCTTTTATAGCCTCACATGTGAGGCTCATGTGCTAACAATTAAAAGATAGTTGATGAAATTTCAAATTTTAGGCCTAAATCCTAGCAGACTTCACTACATGGGCTTAAATCTTATGAAGGTGTATTCAATTGAGATTTTGAGAGATTTTAATTCTTTTAATAAATCTAGGAGTATTCAATTAGGATTTTAAGTGATTCTCTGAAATTTAATGTGTATTCAATTAGGATTTTAAGATATTTTATTAAAATCTTTAGAAATTCGGGTGTATTCAATTAGAATTTTAAAGAAGTTTATAACATTACAAGTGTATTCAATTAAAATTTGAATTTAAAGAATTTGGAAAAGTTGAGATTTGGAGAGATTTTGTAATGTATTTTAAGCATAAACAAATCTCACCTCTCCCTATGAGATTTCGAGGGAATTGAATCAAAATTTTATATAGAATCTCTACAAATCAGTTAAACTACATAAAAATCCATAGATTTATAAATCCATTAAAATCTCTCAAATTCCCAATTGAATACACCCCCATTAATTTTTTTAACCACATGAGTTATCTTCCAACTATCCTATCACCACGGAGACTATTTATCCAATTAAGCCTTTCCTGAATGGAATAAGAAATACACATTGGTTGGCCTCAACTTTTCTTGGTTTTTTGCTATTTCTCCTTCTCTAGTTTTGGGCTGTTTTCATTTTTGTTTTGTTTCATCGGTTCGCATTTTCTTTGGAATCGATATTGGAATTTGCATTGGCATTGGCATTGGTATCAGCATCAACATCAAAACTAGTTGTTTCTTCTTAGTAACGTCTTAGGATTTTCTACCTTAACATAAGGATTATGATGCATACGTGGGTGTACCCATATTGACTAGAGAGAATTATGCATGCGAGTTCAAATCTCTCTCTCGGTAGTTTTATGTTTGTTTATCTTATATCTACTAGGATAAGTATTGTTCTTTGCCAAGAGGGAAACTTAATTCTTGAAAGGTAGGCATTTTGTTCCCTAGTCCTCTTGCTTTGTATGACAGCCCCACATCAGCTTATAGGGGATTCAACTATTCACACACTAATTTTTACTTCTCGCACACTTTTGTTAATTTTTAGCAATTGATCTTCTTCAATTCATCTGGTTCAATAGTCGAAAATTGAGAGGAGTGTGTAAGAAGTAAAAGAAGTGTATGGATAGCACTTCCTATATATATATAGGCCATCCAACACTTTCTTGTACGTTAAAGTCTACTTGAATAGAGTTAGACGAAGCCATTATTGAGGAGGGTTTGAGTCCACTCTTGCAACGGTTACTGAAGTTTTCATCAGATCTCTTCGTTAAGTTGGGGCTAGGGTTTTAAGGCTCCATAGAGTTACCAAAGATGATGATTGAGTACAAATGAGTGTCTGCGGGAGATTTCATGATAAGGTTAGGATTAGTGTTCGGATTTTAAGGGTACAAAAATAAGAGGAGAAATGAATTTCGGCAATTAAGATAGGGTTTCAACTAGCTCATTTCAAGGCTACAAACTATGAAACCGGACCACTTATATTACGGTCTAATAACATTCCTCTTCACTTGTAAGTGATAGGTCATAGGTTCGATTCGATTCTTACCAAAAGTGAATTTAAACCACATTATTGCTAGCCTATTGGAAGGTTAAGCCCACCCCCATCCCTTAGTTTAAATAATATTGTTTGCTCAAAAACTAAGAAACCAGATTCTCACTTGAGTAATACGCTAGTAGATCAGTGATCTAGTTACTGGATTTGGCAATCACCTCAGATTTGACATAGGATGACTTCTCTTTCTTTTTAATCAAATAATGGAGGGGGATTCTAACGTAGGGCCTCTTTTATTGGCGGGAAGAAAAATATCACTAAACAAATATTATCATTTCAGCAATTGAAACGAACCAAAATATGTAACACTGAAAAAGTATTGCCAGATTCCTTAATACATAAAGGAACTTATAGCTCAAGTTGCTAAACATTTGCCCCTCCTGCAGCATTGTCTGCATAGAAAAAACGGGTTTACAGATCTCCGTAAACCCGTTTAAAACAAATGTTAACAAAGATTACAAGTATCCCCTAAATGCTTGATAAACTTGTTTAAAACAATAATTAAAAGATTATACGGATTTTGACTTTACTTTAGTCACTTGAACACATACGGTACAAATCAATTGCACTTTCTTTCTTACATTTGCCTTCTGTCTTTTTATGCACAAAATTGTAGGAATTTTACTTGCATCAACACTAAAGCAATCACTTTGGTCCAGAAACCAAAACCTATAGAATGTTCAGAACGTACATGATTTTTGCATCTAACGACCATAACGCTATGAATTTCTTACCAGCATGAAATCAGTTATCGATCGCTTCAACAAGCTGAAAGCTGAGCATCATCGACTGCTGAATCCTGCTGCAGAAGTCAAGGTAACCACTCCAATTTTCTTTCTGCTGAATACCTGCAATTATACTGTATAGAAGCATTATATCCATATCTAATACTGGCAAACATTAAGCAATAAACTTCGTCTACAATGAGTACATGCTAGCCAGAATTGCTTTCATAAAGTTTTCTATGCTCTACTTAATGCCTATGCATGCATACCACTTCTTCAATTCCGTAGCTCTATGGTTTTGCCTATGCATAGTAACAAGCATTAGCAAACATAATCCCTCCTGAGCAATGTTGCATTACATCTTTAGGAGAGATTATAGAAAAGCAAACATAGATATAGCGAGAAAGTAGTAGAAATTACGACTCGGATATTACTACCAGTTTTCACTACAAAACTTCTGAGACAATTGTAGAGCTCTATCCTCTTCAATGCATTCTTGGCACCTAACTCATTAAGAGACGCATAAAGCATTATAAGGAAAACAGGCTAAGTACATTGACAAACTAAGTGGCAGGAGAAATCATACAATTGCACCATTTTCCAAAGGCCTAAAACACATGAGAATGAAAGTCTCAAATAAATTATCAAAAGTGAGAACACTTAGGTCGGAAGAGTAGTGGATTGCAAAAGGAAAAACAATCCGATGCATGGAAATACAAGATCATTCAGGAAATACAGGTACATGTTCTTGCGACGCTCACAATAATCAACTGAGTCCAGATAGGAAAAGACACACGTAAGCGAAGGGATTTGTGTTAATGACCTTGTCCTTCAACGGACTCAGGTGAAACGCGGAGTTTAATGAAGTTATAAGGTATGCCATGCAAACTAGTCATTCTTCCTGGTTGAGGGTTTTAATTTAAAATACTAATACTACGACGCAATGAGGGAAAGGGATATGAGTTTCACTAATGATTTTCACGATCAATAGACTGCTCTGGGAAAGCTTCTTTCTCATATATGATATAGCTGACATTAGTTAAGTTTAAATAACTTGTTAAAGATTAACTGAAGTTCTAGCAAATAGAAACACAAGTCTACAAGTTGATATTACAATTCGAATTCTCTTCAAGGGGCTTTCTTCTATATTACTTAGACAAGGATAGCACTTTCCTTTCAGGGATGCTACTTAAGAAAATACCTGAGTAAAGCCTGGATTATATTGTTTCTTATGAGAAGAGAACTACCCGTATCTCAACCACTCTTCAAAAGAATGTAGCTATCTAAAATAGCCACGGTACTCAAAAGAACCATTTAACATCCTTGGAACGCCAAACCAGCCTGAAATTGTGGTGGGAAGAATACAAACGTGAACATGTGGAGTTAACAATGAAGCCTGTCTCTGAGGGGTTGTAGATAAAGGGAAAACAAAGATGCAATGTCAGGGCAACCTACACTTATCTTATGTACAATAGTCCACTTCAATGAGGCAATGCCTTAAGCTAATGCATATTCGTTTGCATTTGCAGAAGAAAATAACAATAGTCCAAAAGAAAGTATGTTGGTGCTGAAGCTTTGATGGCACCAACAGTTTAAGGATCCAACCTTAAGAAAAAATCCATTGAATAATAGTTCGTTTGTCTTGAACCAGCAGTTTCAGACTATTCCAACTCATATTCAATTTGAAGGCTTTATATTTACAAAAAGACAGACAGCCTGGTAATCCTGCCCAGGCTAAAATTTCAATAAACAAAGGTTTCGGGCATCAGAATTCTGAAGAAACAACAAAGAAGTTAATATATTGATCCAATGAGAAATTCGACCTGCCCCACGTAACAAAAAAACTTCTATTGCAGTACGGTGGAAGGGAATATTTCCATTTCCATAGTTATTGGTAACATATAGTTTCTGGAAATGTAAATCAAGGCCTCCCACAAGAATTCCTTGATTGATGGGAAGAAAAATTGAAGAAACAAGTGCAGAATGAAAATCTTTGTGTTGATGGACACAAATGGTGATATAAATAGTGTGGGTGAACAACTTCCATATCTTTTGAAAACCAGCAATAACGATGAAGAGAAAAAGGTGACATGGTTGTATCCTAGGGTTTCAGTAAAACATGGGAGCTATTAGAGTTTACCAAACAAGATTGCAGCACTTCTGAACAGCTCACAACAGGTGAATGTTGTCGTAATTTGCTCTTTAGTGCGGAGGATACTATGCATGGCAGGTAACTGAAGGAAAATTTGTGAAAAACATGTTCATTTAAGCAACATCAATAGCATGCAATTAACAATTAAAGGCGGAATCATGCTTGTATGCACTTAAAACAAAACATTTACCCATGAAATTCAAAGCCTAGTAGATAGGTGAACCAAGACTCAACTCAAAACAAAGTGAGTTGAGAAATCAATACCTTTGTAGATTCCTCTTTGCATAAGCAAAGGCTAATCACCCAAAGAGAGGGCCTTCATTCCTTGCATCTTAGATCCATGGATTTGAATGGATGAAAAGGATTCTCCAAGTTCCCAAAATTGAGAACCTCTAAGTCTCCACACCAAGGTAAGATTGGAGAAGAAATGAGTGACCTTGAGGAAGTAAGATTGCTAGATGTTTTCCTCAAGGGTGGCTGAAATTTTAGAGAGAAAAGAGAGCTTGTGTTCTCATCCTTTCCCCCAAAATAACCCTTAGAAAACCCTAAGGATGAAATGGCTATAAAGATGTCTTTATACCACCTCACAATGGAGTGGCAAACTTGCAATTAAGCCAAGTTCACTACCCTCCTCTATATGGCCGAATTTAAGGGGATTTATTGGGCTATTTGGGCCTTTGTGAATCATTATTCATTAAGTTGTCATACAACTTAAGTCAATGGACTTGACGTTCGAAGCCCATTGGGCCTTAAGGTCCAAAACTATCCCGAGGTCTTTAACGAACTTATTCGTTTGATTAATTAACATATTAATTAATCCTTGCCATAAATAATTAAACCATTTAATTATTCTTACTCATCTCCGTTGAATCTTCAATCTCTACCTTACACGGTGTACGATCCATTAGGTTCCTTTTAGCGAGGCAGTGGGCGATTCAAACTCTTTCAAATCGATTGTGAATTGAAACTTACTTTCAATTCTCCCGTTAGTGATAATACACTTTTAGGGCTTCCACAAACCATGGTTGACGCCTAGCAGCATGTCATGGTTACCCAAGCTAATCAGAAGAGGTGGAGAACCTATTCAGTTTAGGATTACAAATGCAATACGGTCTTTCTCTAATACAATACTCTTGACCACATTGTTTGGTTTGATAGTTTATTCATGTCTACTATCCAATGTGAATCTTGTACTTATATGATTACCTTGAATGTGATCTGGAACGCATTCCAACATCTCATTCATACTCTGGCCAGAGATTCTAAATCATATCATAGAGTATTCTCCCTCAAATAGTTTGAAGGTTAGAGATCCCTTGTTGCGCATTCACTTGCCTCCATGGCTAAGTGGCTTAACCCCAACGATGCCGTGGACACCCTGATAGAGTGACGTTGACATAATCAAAGATTAAGGACCTAACCACAAGACAACTGTGATGCCTCAGGTCAAAAGACTAATTTGCATTATCCTAACCATGAGTTCTCATGTGACATGAATATGAGAACTCTTCGTTGATCGTGTTCAGTGAACTCATTCTCTATTGAGCACCTACGTACTTGTCTTGATGTCACACACACCAATGACTCGAGACTAGTCACTCTCCCTGAGAGAAGACATAGCACGTACTGATCTTAACGGACTGTCAATGCCCAATTGACAATCCTATGATCAGGAACGTTTAGGATGTGTCAACGAAAGAATGGTCTCATGAATCTAACTTCTTTAGATCGCATTCTTCCAATCACATATTCCTTGGACTTATCGTTTAAGCATATAACATTTATATTAGACGGCTCAAACAATAATCTTTGCCCTTTAAACTACATTAGTTTGAAATGTCCGTAAAGTATCATCATATGATTGGTTTTAGGGCACATTTCCAACAATCTCCCACTTGCACTAGAGCCAATCAGCTTAGTCATCATTGATGATACCTCTTCTGTAATTCATTTCATAAATGGCTGAGTAGTAGGCCTAAACAATGGATATCTATATGTTATCCATAGAAGCAACCTTGAGAATAACGACGTCACCATTATACATGATTCTCAATCATGTGGTTCAGTCTCTCATTTGAGTTCGGACCTTGATGAGACCTTGATTCCCTGGCTTGAGCTATCGCCCCATTAGTGTCATACACTTTCTGGTTGGAACCGAATGAAGAGTTCATGAATGAACTTTCCCATCCAAACAACAATGTTGTAAGCTTCTATATGGCAATATATTTTGCATACATGATGGAACACATTAAAGTCATTTACTTTTAACGTTTCTACCCAAATATCTCTTTAGTCATAATAAAGAGATATCTCATTATCACTTCATTCATAATGAAGAGATATTCTATGATGGATTAGATTCATAATCTAATACATTTACGCTTCCATTACGTTACTCTAATTCTTCCTCATTCTTGAGGAATCCATCCTTAGTATTTCTTAAATACCTAAGGATTCACTTGACAGTTGCCATGGTTCTGATCCTGGGCTTGCACTGATATCATCTTGTACCGTTCTAGGTACGACTTATATCAATGTTTTCATACAATATGAAATACATAAATCACCTTTCTGCATATGCATAAAGGATTCTATTTACGCATTTATTTCTTTGGGAGTCAAAGGGTACATTCCCTTTGAGAAGAACAACTTCCTAGTCTCACTAGAATTGTCATTCTAATTGAAGTTTATCATCATATGAGAAACTTCCTAGCATCTCTTGTCTATTTTAGGGATTGATATAATCCAATTATATCTTGAAATCTATCATTATAGATTTCCATCCCATGTATATAGACTATGTCTCCCATATACATTCTATCATTATAGAATGTTTAAAGTCATAACTTTAACGATGAAGAATTCCTTTCATTTTCAAAATTAATATATATCATGTATATATATATATTCTAATTTAGGAATATGATCAACTCCCACTAATCTTTTGTAAACCTAGTAAACAAAAGATTCATTTACATCTTTATGAGAAATCAAACAATTGATCTTTTCTCATAAGACGCTTATAGCTCCCACTAGCTTGCTAAGATCCATGATGGATGGATCTTCTTACAACTAACATGTCTTAGAAGTATATATCATATATATATGGGTAATTGATAATGTCCAACGAACTAAATCTTATTTATGTTCATTCTCTTCCTAATGGAGAAATTCATTATCTTATGATGCTACTTTCCTTGATATTTTTCAAGGAAATTAATCTAAAGTGTTACTTTTTCCTTGGATCAAATCTAAGGAGGTAAATACTTTAGATGTCTTACTCATCTACTTACATTTCTTGAATTCTTTGAAACCTTTTGCAAAGTATTCGGACTTGTGTTTATTCAAAATAAACTATAGTCCAACCGAGAGTGATCTTCGGTGAATGTCATACAACATGAGTAGTATTATGTTGTGGACAAGTGCCACTAACATCTAAGTGAATTAACCTCAACAACTTTGTGATTCTTTCTTCTTTCCAAAAGAATAAAGATTCGAACATTTCGCCTCTATACAATTTTAACAAGAAGGTATTGGATCCGGATCTAACGATCCAAAGCATCCATCTATGACCAACTCGTAACTTATGTTTTTAGAGGTATCACAACTCAGTTGGGATTAGTCACTACCTTGTAACCTTTTGGGTTTTAAGCATCATCGTATTCTAAACAGTTAAACTACCACATCATCTCTACTATAGAGACAACCAATTAGATTACAATAATCTAATTATTGATTAATAAAGAACAATGTTTTGTTAAACAAAACATTTATCCACCTCTACTATAGTGACGGATTTAAGTTCCTTAAAATTGGAATGTAAAGACAATCTTTTAGTATTTTCCAATTTCTTTGGTAGTTCATATGAGGAAGTAAGTACAATCCGCTTTCGCAGAGATCTATATTCGATTCACGTTTGGAATGTGAAGTACTTTCTCTTCTCTCATTTAATCTTCTACTTTTTATTAGCACACTTTTACAACAATTGTAAAACATAGTTACTAATACGGAATCATGCATTCAAGTAGAAGAACCAACTGTTGTGAACTTTTCAAGAACATTTTACAACACCTTCAAAAGGTGTGTTCTTGACACTTGCAAGACATTTCTTGCAAATACCCCTTCCAATGTCCATCCTTTCATAAAGAAAGTTTGTTCCCTTGGAGTTATTTTGCCTTCTTCATTTGACTTCCCTTTTGATTACAATAGTCATGGTCCCTAAACTCCCACTATCTCTCTTGAAACTCATTTCAAATGTGTTATACACATCAAACGATTTGGAGAGCGTGCGGTTATTGTTCACTATATAGTTTACAATAAACTTAGTGAACCATTAGGATAGGGACACAAAGGTGAAGTCCTTGCCTAGTTTCCGTCTCGTTAAGTGGTTTAACACTTCAATCACTCAATGATTCAAAATCATCATAAGTCCATATAAATGGACTATTTTTGTCAACCAACCATTATGTTCTAAACATAACAACAAACTCTCAAGAGTTGTTCAAGGCAACTCTCATTTCTTCATACAACATTTTGTAAGTGAAGAATCATGGCACATAAAGTGTCCATGCCCTTGTGCTTACTTCTCAAGTTCTTTATTCGTGTAACAAAGAGACAAGCACTAAAATTTGTGTTGATTAAGGGTTGTTCAAAGCAACTCTTATTTCTTCATACAACATTTGTATTTGAAGAATTATGACATTAAAAGTGTTGTCCTTCTCATGTTAGACTTATCTAACATATTCTTCCAATGATACATTATCAATAGGAAGATTGTGAGGATGAGACTACTTAGTTACATCTACAAGCCATTAAAGACAATCTATGGGATTGTAGAACTAAGTCCGGAAATTAAAGCGTTCGATTTTTTTTTTTTCAAGTTTTGGATAGCGTTTGCAAATATATTGGTAAACAAATACATAACGAATATAAATTGATTGATTTTAAGCCATTTGATTCGGGTCTTTAAATCAAATAGCACCACCCACTATTTTTGGCAAATTCCATATCCCTCATCGGAATTCGAGAGTTTTGGAGGAAACTCTTAGTAGGGTATGGGAGGCTCACTATTACCAAGCCCA